TGTACTGTTGCCCTCTAATTAAAGCAATAGATTTATTATATTAAAAAAGTTCTTTGATATAAACTTAGGCTTTTAAAATGCGGTTGAGTGAATCAAACATAGAAACTCGTCTTTGAAGAGTGCTTGAGCAATCAATAGCCAAAAAGAGACTGTAAACGATTATCTTGATATAATGTTTTATTTCCTGTTTCGATATCATTGTCATCTCCCTCAGCACTATCACCATCGTTGTTGCTCTCATCATCGTCATCTTCTTCATTCATGTTGTCATCTAAATCGCTTGCTCCAAAAAATCTTTCAATGTCGTAGTTAGTATTATCAACACTAAGATTTTCTTCGTCACCACTGATGTTCACCTCATTTTCACTATGACTAATATTCATATAATTGTCATCAGTACTAAAATCCATAACATTTGCTGTATCACTAACATTTCTTGATTGTAATTTTTGTTCTTTCTTGTCTAATATATTGTTTATATTATCACAATATTATTTTTGTTTTCTGGTATTTGTGCTTACGTTCATTGAAATAATAATGTATCTTAACATAAAGTTATAAAAGTACATATAGTTTTCAATAAAAATAAATGTACGGCAGGAAAAACAATTTCCGAGTACTTCATACTTTCTCCCTGCCTAAAGCAAATTCGTCGATTGTCCATCGCATATTAAGGATGATACCTAATAAACCTTGCGAAAAGAAACCTTTTTTCTGAGCAGTCGAGAAAAAAATATTATAGCGCATTTTCCAAAAAGCACGTTTAACTCCTGTTTTCAGGACAGTTAGTGTAGAGAATCAAAATTTTCTTACTGGAAGATAACATAGTAACTTCAAAAAGTTTCCGTACGGCAAATTTTCGATAAGGAGAACTTAGATCTTATTTGTTAGTTATAAGCTTTGTAATACAATTAGTTTTACTTTTGTCCAACAGAAGAATAAAATAAAACTAATTATAGTTATGAATAACGTACATACAATAAAAGCAACCACATTTGTAAAGAAATCTAAATAAGACTTTTAAACATACTAGCTAGTCATTATTTTAGCAGTCTGAAATAATATAAACTTTGTACATGATTTCATTGTTTTAGCGATAAAAATGATTAATAATATACGGGAAAAAATTATAAAAGTAAACAATAAATGTCGCATGAGAAATTTTATTGCGGTAAGCAGACACACACATAAATTTAACTACTCTTTATTCGCAAAAAAGTTTAACGTGTGATAGTTTTTGTTGTTTTCCTTCCGTTTATCATTTCACCAAAAGGGAGATGGAAGTTAATTAGGCACTCTGACTTTCCTAAGTGTGCGGCATGTTTTGTTTAGTTGATCATGAAAGCACATACAGCTACTTGGCCAGTGCAAAACAGTGGCCTGTTTTACATAGTTAATTGATCTATAATTTGACCCTATTCTTACGATAAAGCACAATTTATTTTAAAATATTGGGAGAGACTAGACTAGGTACTTAGAAATATACTACATTCATGCAAACCACACGTCAAACCATGGTATTGGTAATTTGTATTAATAAGTCATAAATATCAATGCCAATTAGATGAAAACTACACTAATAGCAGCAAAGACTAATAGAATTTTATCAGTACCATGATCATTGTTTTTCTTCTTTCAATAATTCAGTGATTGTAACGAGTGCGGTAGAATAAAGGGCGGTCTCAGTATTTCCTTAATAGTTTTTTCATCATTTATACTTATTATTTCTTAAAAGATTCTTCGTTCAATTCTCTACAACGTATTGAGTATTTCTCTATATATACTATAAGATAAAAAAATTTAGAGAGAATACGGAAAAACTTCAATCTCTATTACTTTCAGACTAACAGCGCAACAAAAAAATAGTTATTTTCATAAAAACATTAGGAATCACAATAGCATGACGCAAATTATTCTTTCCTAAAAAGTATTTGA